ATTATTATTATTATTATTATTATTATTATTATTATTATTACTATTATTATTGTTATTGTCACCACTATTATCACTAAAATACTAGACTATCAAAGTTGGACGGACTAGCAAACTCACAAAGTCAAATGTGCTCCATCGGAATGGCGGGACCGTTCCCCACGTGGGGCCGCCCTGAGCGCGGAACTCGAGCTTCTTCATCATGGCAACATTCGTTCCCTGCAAAAATACAGTTCCATTGCTATCCATATAACTCGGGAAAAACATTTTTATTATCACCTTATAATCAAGTGCACCGTGATTCACATGTCCTTGACCTGGGAACTCGTAGGTACCGTTGGCGGGATTCAGATCTCCACGAGCCGAAATGCCAGCCTCGGCCGAGTAAGGCGGATTGCAGTTGCATCGTGAGAACTCGTCCTTTGTGTAGTCGTTGTACCTGAGGGCATTTATTTGAAGAAAGAGAAACATATTGTTCAAGAGTTTCGGGGAGTCTCGAAGTCTGAACGAATTCGTAATAACTTCACGTCGTAGCTGTGAGATATGTCTTTTCCTCTTGGTCTCATTCACAAAAGGTGGGGTAGTACGAGAGTTATATTTGGGGCTGAATTCGAATGTGCTCACAGATAAGACCACTCTCCCAAGGCCTCTAGCTAGAAGCATTTTATCTATTCGACCCTCCAGTACGAAAGCAAGCCATACCACTAAGCCACACTACCAGCTACTTCATTTTCGTCTTTTGAAAGTTCTTGATTTTTAAAAAAAGAAATAATGAGAAAAAGTGAAGCGCGGCTTACGAGACGGTAAGTGGCAGCGTCGCGGTGGGACCACCGTGCTTGAAACCGCGCGACTTTCACAACTCCCCATGTTGCCAATTGTTCCTCATTGATTTTTATAGCTTCCTTTCTCTTATAGCAATTCTGTACTGCTTACTACTTTCATATTTTGGCAGTTCAAACTAACCGCATAAGCTTGGTGAGAGAGTCGATGTCAGTGACAGTGTGGTGATCACGTTCGAATATTCTTGCACGTGGGCTCTTACCCCAAACAAACCAGTTGCCCAACTTCTTTCCCTGAAAACCATTGTAACATAAGAAGTTCTAATGGCTCCCTACTGCATGTACCACGTAGTATTCCTTGGAGGGGACGTACCTGATTGACGAAACCACTGATGTCGGTGATTTTCTTGAAGAATGGGATATTGTAAGAGGGGAAGTATGAGTATTTCTGGAGGAACCATGTTAGATCCTGGTAGACTATTGTGCCTCTGAAAAGGTTCATACTCTGAAACAGAATCGTACACCAACGTTTCAATCCGGATGAGCTGTTGGTATTTTCAATTTTTATTATAGGATAGCTCTTTCGCGAAGATGGTACATTGGAAAGTGGCACACTTCCCACACCCATAGTCACGGGTTCGAATCCCGGATCTCGAATCGATCTGCCCAGGCCTTCGATCCCTCTGGGATCGGTTAATTGGTACCAGACTCGTATGGGAGGATAAAGGCACTGACTCGTACATTAGCTGGTCCTGGCAATTCATTGTATAGGCCACGTAGGCATTGATTACGCCATTACGATTCCGAATTGATGTTGGTTGCATGGCGCGTCTTATGAACAGGAATGATTAATCGCTCTTCTTTTCAACTCTCAAAGTAGAGGAATAGATATTGCTTTGAAAAACTCCCGTGCTTACTGTTTACAATTTGCCGCTTACAGTCGAGTCAAGGCTCTCTCATCTCATACCTCGTAAAACCTCTTCCTCTTCCACGATATAAGTAATACTTTTGTGTTATAATGATTGTAATATCAATAAATGTAACTCACGGCATTTGTTCGAGGACGTATAGGAGCCCGTATTCTGGAAGTGATTGGTTGGGAGTGAATTTGTTGTAGTCAACCACAGCCCTGAAAACTGTTCAATGCTACATCTACATCAAGCATCTCATCTACGACCTTCTTCTTGGAATGTTAGAATGAATGCTTAATTTAATCGAGAAAAAATATTTATTTTCAAACACAATATTAGCTTGTAAATTCGAGGGTTGAACTCTTGCTGTTCTTCATTTTTGTCGAGTGATTTTAAGAGTTTTGTAGATTATGGTATTTATTTTTCGAGCTATTGTTTTAAATAAGCACCTATTATGAGTGTCGTTTATCAGGAGAAGACAAAATCTTGTAGCTTAAACTAAAGTAACCTTCTAGAGGCCAATTCATATAATTTTCCATCTTAGAAACTTTTAGTGTAAGAACCCCACATTGTATTTCCACAAGAGCTGATTTCCTAGTAAGCCAGTTGATTTGAGTTTATTAATTGTGGCATTCCAATAGAACGTAATAGTAATAAAAGTAATAATAATAATAATAATAATAATAATAATAATAATAATAATAATAATAACCGGAATTTCTTTGTGTGTAAAGTACTAAAATGTTTTATTAAGCATGAACCATTGGTTATTGTAGGTTCCCGAATTGTACTTTGCGTAGAGGTGGCACCACTCTCTGGCATCGCGAGCCATTTGGTTCGCTACGATGGCACGAATCCATGTTGGCAGCTGAATTATTGCCACATATATTTATTTTAGACATTATAAAATGAACTACAAATTATGAAGTAGTAACAGTTACCTCGAATAAAATCTGTTTTTATATAGTACTTGTAACCTATTTGTAGTCTATTTTACTAAAACATCATAAAAATCGTGCATAATAATATAATAATAAGAAGTGAAAAGAACTTACTTGCCCCACAGCTTTGGTTTTGTCGAAAAGTGTAAGGTTAAATACACTGATTGTCGTCTCAATGACTGCCTAAATGTTACAGTTTGCAAAGTACTGTAAGATTTTTTACATTCATTCAGATCTTTCCAGTACCAATCCGGAGGACATGAGGGCAAAGTCATCAGATGAATACAACAGCCCAGGATATGAAGCCATTGACGTAGTATGACCAGGGAAGAACTCACGATCTAAAAAATTCATAATAATTAAATAATTCTGCTTGTTGCATAGCTTATAATTACAGTTTATTCCTCGAAAAATCTGTTTAGAAAAAAAATAAATTAGAATAATAAATTATAAAAGTGGAAATTATAACAATTGATCTACCAGCTGGCTGAAAACCTCACCATAACCGAACTTGTAGAGCTTGAGAACTCTGAGCATGTTCTGGAATCCACTCATAGTTACTTGAGAAATGAATAGATCCGTGTTATTCGGTGCCACCTAGAAAAAGTTTTTCATTTATGGAAATGAGAATGTCCTGTTTGAAGAATCCAATGACATTTTTCTGGTAACCAGTATGGATGGAGTTCCAGTCGTGCAAATTATGCGGTCTCTCCCTTTCTATAGCATTCTCTTTACAGTATTCGATATGTAAATAAATCCCTCCTTTCTTTCTCTTTTTCTTCTATTTCTTTCCTTTCACGTCACGAGTCTGTTCACCGTGAAAACGAACTTTTATCAGTCCAGAGCATCGGCCTCCCAATTGGTCTTGGACAGGATCTCTACTTTTGTTGAGCTTCTTCTCCAGATCATAGAAATCTCCATTCCAGTTCATGAACCTGAAACTCAGTTGGTTAGTCCGTACTATTTTATCTCTATTCTTCCAAAGATATCCCAATGAAGACCGAAAGGTAAAGAATTACAAAATAGGGTGCATTTCATAGGAGATTCTTGGAGTTATCGGTCGCGCTTCATAGCCATCGATCAAGCCGGTGAGTTGGTGATACGTCCGGTTGACCTGAACAAAGGTAGAATAGGTACATAGGATCATCATCAGATTGAGATGAATTTTTACAGTATGTCGCCCTAATATGTAGTAGTTGTAATCCATAATGATGAGATTTGAGTTCTAATAAGTCAATAAAGCTGGGACTAAATCTCAATTTAGTGACAACAGCGCTGACTTCTGTCCGTTCCGTGGGTTCTGTTCACAACTGGGCATCATTTTGATAATTTTTCGGTCAATTTCTCATCGTTACTACTGTAAGACCACTGGATGCTCAAGTACCCAAAATACACTGTTTTAGGGGTTGTCAAATACCTACAAATGATCTGTCTGGGGTGTTTCCAAACTTCATGACCATCAATAAAATATTAATAGAAGAAATAATGCGATAGTAAAAACGATAGAGTGAAAGTAATTGCAAATGTGATAGTAAAAGACATCAGAAGACGTTGACTATAAGTAAGGTTTAACAGCGACTTCCGACTAGAATGACATTTCTGGGCTAACTGATATGAACATCGAATAACTCACTGCTGACCAGTACATATCATCTCTCGATGTCGACGCAAGTTTCTGTTTTATGTAGTCCTGATTTTGGCCCACAAACTCGTTCATCCTTTTACAGTACTGCGTGAAGTTCGTACAGTAGTCCTCCGCGGTGTTTTGAATATGGTAGTGAAGTACTTCGCGTGACAATACACCTAGCATAAAGTAAAATCATTCAAAAACACAAAACTAATCACATTTTTGTCAGTAGAAATAGGTAGTTTTTAAAAAACGTGAGATTACGAGTTTTTCTCACCTTCAAGGTATCCAGCCGCATACGCTTGGAGCTGGGGATCGAAATTTGGTTGGGTCTCAACTTCCAGGAACGTCCATCTTGAATACGTTTTCAGTTATAGTAGTATGAGTGGTCGTCAATTCATAAATTTATAAATTTCATAAGTAAAAATTCAATTTTAGCTACTAGAGTATCTGCCTGAGGCTACTCACCCAGAAGCGTTCACTGAGTTTTTCCACTTTCCCACGGCCACTTGTTCTCGACAGTCGAACCCTTAATTAGTAATTTCATTCATTCTTTGCCTTTTCTTTTATTCTAGACCAAAATTTGCTTCACAACCCTTCAGGTAGGGGTAGGAAGCGTCTGGGTGACGGCACTAACATGAGCATGGCCAGTGGCTCAATCAGCTCTGTGATCAAAATAGTGCCAGCCCTTCCCTCCCCCTCTAGAGCCAGTCTTTTAGTCCAGTCTTTATTGAAATTTGACACAATTAGAAACTCCCCTGTTGCACACTCTGTAGGAAAATACACCAAGCAATCGTTACGGAAGAGACATTGCGAGCGCGTTTTTCACAAAATGCTTGCTCGTGGGAGCTTACTTTGCTGGGTCGGCAGTTAATTTTTGATTCAAAATTTATGATTTCTTATTAAAGACCAATATGAGTCAATTTGTTACTTTTAATCTTTTTGTGCTGTTTCGACTCTAAATGAGTGCATCTTCTAATACAGATGTTTTGTACAGTTTACAAAGCAGCTCTTGGAAACATGTCAATACAATAGAACTCTTCGACTGGTTTGAGCCCCGAGGATACACCTACTCATGAATAACTCCATTTCTGCTCCACTGCTCTACTTTTAACATGTCACATAGTATACATGATCAGAAATCGGTAGGCACATTGTACTGTGCGATCTCTGGAAAGCACTCTTGAAAGATACGATAACGCAAGTGGGAAGAGGTGATAAGAAGAAGAGGCGACCGATGAGACCAGCATGAGGATGACATTATAGTAGAAGCACGGTCATATTACCGATCATAATCATACCGTACCCTAATAACGTAGAAGTCCTGGGTTCTCAATTCAGAAATTTGTGGGCCCTTTCGCCTTTGTCCGCATAAGACTCCCAGAGCATCTTAAAAATGTGTCGCTTAGGTAGCATATGGGGTTTAACGGAGCTAGAAGCTAGAACCCTCGACGCAAGGTCAATCCCTGTTGGGGCAGGGGTTCTTCCATTCCTGATCGAGGTTCCCAAGAATTTATGCACCAGTAGACAGAATACTAGTACGCTTATACAAGTAAAAGGAAAACACTATTCACAGAAGGAAAAACAGCCTACCTTGAAGTACTGTCAGCTTTCCTTCAACAATACACATTTGATTGTATGTGTACCGTTCATCTTTGCCATCTGATGAAGCGCTCACCAAACCTTGAAATAGGTTTTGTGAGTTAGGTTTCATTGGTTTGATTTCAAGAGCCTGTTTTCAAATCTATTTTCAAGAACTTCAACTTACCAGTTATGAGCAATACAGAAGCCAAGCAAGTGGCCAACATTATGGGGTTGGTATTGAATGGAACCTATACGAACCTTATCTTCCCTTATTTCGGCTTTTCTTCTTATCAAGCAACACCCTTCATTCATACCACGCCTTCACAAGTAGCCAGTTCAACTTCAATGGCCCCAATTACGAAGGAATTAGTAAAATTCTGAATTTCTAAAATTCTATGCTACAGCAGGACAGTTCTAACTGGGGGCTTTGAGGCTAACATTTCAATCAAAAAACTTCTGAATTGTGGAGCTCGTATGAGTTCCTTACGTGCTTTACTAACTGCACTACTTTGTATTATAACGTACTACACTTGTTCAATTTTTACTTATCACGATGTAGGTAGTGGTACCTGACTTTTTGAGTTCGTGGTCAATGGTTTCATTGCCCTCTATAATGGCTATGATAAGCAGTTTCACGAAGACCGCTTCCACAACATGACAAGACCATGAGAACATGAGACTAATCAGTTAGATGGTCACTGAGGGTGATTTGTGAGCACGAAGCTTTCTAATGGGGTGCCAAGACCCATCCTACAGAGTCAAAGCCATCCACAAAGGTGCCATGACTTCGCTACAGTCTCATTGTCGCCGCAGTTGGACTTCAGTTTTGGGAGTGCTCTTGAAATGGTAACAAAAACACTGCATAGAAAAATCATTACAGTCGAATTTTCTATTGAAATTTTTTTTGACGATACTTTACCTCTTGAGGCTTCGTTTTCGGATGTTCGGAGCTCCCTCTCCAAGCATTCAGACACAGAATGTAGCTGTAGCGCTTAGGACATGGTCCGGTCCTCTGTTGAACTTTGGAACAACGGAGACGTCAGTCATTCAAATCTTTTGATCAAGAATGATGTAAACCCTTCAATTACGGAACCGTCTACCAGATGATCCCCAGGTCCTCTGCGAATGAAACCGCCTAAGGAATTACATGGATGTTGTGGGTCGACATTCTTTGATCTGTTCATCCTTCATTCCATCCCGGTAGGAAGTAAAACAGTTTTCTCCAAGTTTTCATAAAACGTTCCCAGCTCATCCTCATGGTGAGTTGGTGTTGGCTCGAAATCTAAGATGGTTTTGAGGGTGGGCTCTTGTTCGCAACTCTCCGATTCGGGCTGTCAAGTCTTCGTCTCGAACTCTAGGGTTTATACTATCTTTTCTGCAACAGCGATGCACTACTGAGACAACCGAACCAATGAAAAGTGATGGAATTTGGTATTAATATTTCGATTATCACTGTATTTTGGGGTACTTACGCTAGAGTTACTAAACTGGATGTTCTATTCCGTTGCTGGGTAAGAAAGTCGTCCGCAGCGAAGTGTCCGTGCAGCAAATGATTTCGTCCCGGTGCAGGTGCAGGATGAAACGTCGTTCCATGACATAAGTTCTCTGCCCTTGTTTCACGTTTTAGACCAACAGTCAGCTGTTCTTGGATGGAGCATACATACGTACATACATATCACAGCAATGACGTTCATGTGGGATACAAGCAACATAAACCATTTTTAATTACCCAATCTACGCAATCGTCTTCGTCGAAAACAAGACGTCCAGACTGCGTCATCCTTGGCCATTATTACGGCTTCACCTGCAACTGCCTACGTAACCCATCACTTATCTTTTCAAGCCTACAAGAATACCATTCCACTGTCTACTAGTGTCATAACTACTAAAACACGATTTCTGAAAACTTGTGCAAATTTCCGTTCAAACTGTTGATACTCCCAGGTACATGTTAATATTCCCAGGTAGCACTACATGTGGTTACTAGAAGGTCTACAAAATCCAATTTGGCTGTCAGAATTGCATCACGAGCTACCCACATACCCAACCAAGGTTAAAAACTACCTCATGGAGTATTAGCTACCACATTACTTGTTACTGATTGTAACCTAGAGAGTACATTGTCAGAGTACAACAACGAGTTGTATTTTTTGCTAGAAGATAGGGCTTCCCCTTTCTGTTATTCTAGCAATTTTTTTCACTTCAATACCTATGCAACTAAACAAAAAACACAACAAATATGAATTTGTAGCTTTTCAAGTGGCATTCGAATTTGGGCAGGTTATAGCAACTTGTAGATTATGGCTTTTTTGGTTGGGATCCATGTCTGGCCATTCAGACCTTAAGACTCACTTCATAGGTTTGGAGCGACAGCCATATTCAAGGTTTTTTTTATCAGAAACATCTGGGTACACGACTAGTGAATCTCAGATATCAAATGTACACCTTTTTCACGCTGAGTATTGAGAGATGTCACTTGAGTAAATGAATCAACGCCGCTGTCCCAACAAACGATGAGAATGCAGCTGGTGTTCGGACAAGCGGAACAACTTTAATTCATCAACCTCCCGTTACTATAAAACCTCGATATGGCAATATCTACCCAAAGTGAGTTCGTCTTGGCAAAACTAGTACATCAGTTTTATCTTTTGATCTGCAAAGCTCATAGGTCCTACCAAACGGAACCCTGCCTACTGAAGTTAAAGACCACTCCATGGGGTATTCGCTACCAAAATACTTATTATGGGTTGTAACCCAGAACCCACCCCTTCAGCCTGCACAGAGAGGATTGCTCGCAATGGAAATTTCTAGTGTCACATGTAATTCAATTACTTGGTTTAACCCTTGAAATTTGCAGTTATTCAGGGAAACGTGTCACGTATGCCTCCTATTGGTTGGACGAGAAATCCACCAATGGTAGGCGTCACATAGATAATCCACCAATGACAGGCACTGTACAAGTAATCAAACAAGTGGTATTTTTCTTCAAAATAAAAATGTCTAACAAGTAGGTACTGTGGGGGTCTTGAACACCTATACTGAAATTAAATATCACCTTACCATTCTCCTTTTTTCATTTTCTAAAATCTTTCAAATTCAACAGTCCAGAATTCATAGAAAAAACTGGTGCTTACCCGTTTTCTACTGCCGTCTTCTCTTCAGAAGGGCAATCATAAGATCATCTGAATTGTAAATTAGTTCGTGTGGGCAACTCAGACAAAATTGTACTTGTAAATGGATTTTGCCAATGATGGGTGGGAACAACGATTTACGCTTTCATAGTACTGCAACAAAAACGAATTGCTCTATCAACGTTGTATTATTCATCATTTAATTGTTTTATTGTATTACATCATTCAAACAGACATTTCAATGTACTGCGTCTAGATAAAGTTCTGAAAAAACAAAAATAAAACAATTAAAAATGATAGTCATCTGTTCTGGTAAGCATTTAATGACGTCTGGTGGAGTTTCATTCAACACTAAAATTAGCTTGGGTATCTATTCAAAAATCTCGGGCTGTTTTCCATTCAATTTTTNGACTTGAATAGAAAGAATTTATATTCGATTATGTTGGAGTCGGAAACCGGAATAGTTGAAATCGGAAGAACTGGGCATAGAGGCAGAAATGATCACTTAATATTACATAACTTATTATTAAGCACCACAGGCTGCGATGCCCAACCTTCTTGAGCCCAGTTTGAGTTATGATTCACTATTCCCCTTTATGATTCCGTATTTTGGAGGAAGTAATCTGTAATACTAGTTTGGGTCACCTATGTACAGAAGTGTTCTTGTATCATCTCTCATCACCTGCTGCTGCTGCTCCTTCTGGAACTGCTCTCACGACCTGATGTTCTTGCTTCATTATTTTCACTTGTCAGATCACCTGTCAGATCCGCCACGCCTGTTGCTTTACAATTGAACACAATCGATTGCCATTCACTCAATTTACCCATCGTTATCATGTTTACATCTAATATAAAAGCTTATCGCTTGTGATAATCAATTTTGACTTATTTATTCATTCAAATAACTCTTAAGTGGGCAATCGCTTCAAATTCAAGATTTATTG